CATCAAACTCCTCTGGGACTTCTGAATTCAGACTGACAGAGTTTTGGAGCACAGGACTCCTGACCTCATGATTGTGTTAAAAAACTGAGTGTGGATCGTCAATGTTGCAATCCCAGGTGACAGCAGGATTGAAGAGAAACAACTGGAAAAGCTGACACGATATGAGGATTTAAAGATCGAACTGCAAAGACTCTGGCACAAACCAGTAAAGGTGGTCCTAGTGGTAATTGGCACACTGGGTGCAGTGCCTAAAGACCTTGGCCTGCACTTAAACACAATCGGCACTGACAAAATTGCCATCTGCCAGCTGCAAAAGGCCACCTTACTGGGATCTGCACGCATTATTTGCCAATACATCACACAGTCCTAGACACTTGGGAAGTGTCCAACGTGTGATCCAATACAACAGCTAGCAGAGTGATCTTGTTTGCTGTGGACTCATCTTGTTGTGTTTCTAATAATAATAATAATAATAATAATAATAATAATAATAATAATAATAATATCTATGGAAATGACAACCCTCTTCAAGCCTTCTCTAGTAATCTGTTTATCTATGATCCTGTTGCTTACTGTTTCCTGTATATATGTTCTGGTATGCAGCATCCTTTACTCTATGGTTCCTGAGACGTTATAAAAGGGGCTGGCCACATGATCACTTCAGACTATAGACCACATGTGCATGCTCTCTCTCTCCCCTTTTGACTATGTGACCTGTTGGTAACTGTTTTGTTAAGTGCTTTTATTGTGCTTTTCCTGCATGGCAGAAGAGGGTTGCTCCCATTACTATCATCATCATTAGTGATACAGAGGCTGGATGTGTTGGAAAGGACAACCTTCTTCAAGCCTTCTCTAGTAATCTGTTTATATAATTTTTTGTGTGTCTCAGGAGCGACTTGAGAAACTGCAAGTGGCTTCTAGTGTGAGAGAATTGTCCAGGGGACACCCAGATGTCTTTGATGTTTAATAATAATAATAATAATAATAATAATAATAATAATAATAATCTTTATTTATACCCTCCACCATCTCCCCAAAGGGGACTCGGAGCAGCTTATATGAGGCCAAGCCCAGCGATACATTACAGCAACATAAAATATAAACAACAAAATAACATCACAATAAAATAAATAAACCAATCAAATAAACCTTGTGGGAGGCTTCACTCATGTCCCCCCATGGGAAGCTGGAACTGACAGATGGGAGCTCACCCCACTCCCTGGATTCGAACCACTGACCTGTCAGCAGTCCTGTCGGCACAAGGATTTAACCCATTGTGCCACCGGGGTAATAATAATAATGATAACAACTTTAATTTTGTATCCTGCCTCCATCTCTCCAAAGGGACTCGGGGCGGCTTACATAGGGACAAACACAAACAACATGATTAAAATATAACACAACAAAATGCATAAAACAATTTCATAAACAGAATAAAACAAACCATACATAAAAACAATGCCAGAAGAAAGAAGTTCCCAGTTGATTTATGTGTGACTTCAGTATCGAGCCTAAAGCAAGGAAATAGGGACTGTGGAAAGAAACTAAGTTAAAAAGAAAGGAAACTAAGGACATAAAAGTATCAGAAGATAAGCCGCCGTTAAAGGTTTAATAGTAACAGTTTCATATTTCTGAAAGAACAAAGAATTGTCACGTGAAAAAGCAGACACTTTGTAACCGCCAAGCATTGTGAACCTGAGAAATCTTCAAATAAATGTTGTTTATATTCAGTTCAGATACTGAGAATTCAGTTTTATTTATTTAAGAAAAGATTACCCAGAAGAAAAGAAGTTGCAGATCTTGTGAAGCCAAAGATAAACTGGCCGGATTGGATTACACGCACTAAAATGGAAAAACAGGTGTCTTAGAAATATCCCTCTCATATAAGCGTCACTCCCAAATAAACAAAGCCTCATCCATTAATAATTGGTGGTAGCTTCGTGAGTTATATAGAGATATACTTCGTTTCAAAAGAGACATGCACAAGAAGTGGAAAAAGGGAGAAATAACCAAAGAAGAATTCAAACAAATAGCCAACACCTGTAGGGAAAAGGTCCGCAAGGCTAAAGCACAAAACGAGCTCAGGCTTGCCAGGGACATTAAAAACAATAAAAGGGGATTCTTTTCTTATGTCAGTAGAAAAAGGAAAAACAAGGAGGCGATAGGGCCTCTTCGAGGAGAAGATGGGGCAATGCTGACAGGGGATAGGGAAAAGGCAGAACTACTTAATGCCTTCCTTGCCTCGGTCTTCTCACAAAAAGAAAGTCATCTTCAACCTCAGCAAGATGGAGTGGATGAGGGATTAGAGGACATCCAACCCCAAATTGGGAAACAAGTCGTCCAGGAATACCTGGCCGCTCTAAATGAGTTCAAGTCCTCAGGGCCAGATCTACTACACCCAAGAGTTCTCAACCTGTGGGTCCCCAGATATTTTGGCCTTCAACTCCCAGAAATCCTAACAGTTGGCAAACTGGCTGGGATTTCTGGGAGTTGTAGGCCAAAACACCTGGGGACCCACAGGGCCAGATCAACTACACCCAAGAGTATTGAAGGAACTAGCGGAAGTCATTTCGGAACCATTGGCAATCATCTTTGAGAGTTCTTGGAGAACGGGAGAAGTTCCAGCAGATTGGAGGAGGGCCAATGTGGTCCCAATCTTCAAGAAGGGAAAAAAGGATGACCCAAACAACTACCGTCCGGTCAGCCTCACGTCGATACCAGGCAAGATTCTGGAAAAGATTGTTAAGGAAGTGGTCTGCAAACACTTAGAAACAAATGCGGTCATCGCTAATAGTCAACATGGATTTATCAAAAACAAGTCATGCCAGACTAATCTGATCTCTTTTTTCGATAGAGTTACAAGCTGGGTAGATGCGGGGTATGCCGTGGATGTAGCGTACCTGGATTTCAGTAAGGCCTTTTCTGAGAGAAAAGAGGTCTTTTCTGAGGGAAAACCTGCTTCCTGCGGCCTCATCTGAGGGAAAAGAGGCCTCTTCTGAGGGAAAACCAGCCTCCTGTGGCCTTTCTGAGGGAAAAAAGGCTTTTTCTGAGGGAAAACCAGCCTCATTAGCGGTTTTTTGAGGGAAAAGAGATCTTTTCTGAGGGAAAACCTTCTTCCTGTGGCCTCATCTGTGGGAAAAGAGGCCTCTTCTGAGGGAAAACCGGCCTCTTGTGGCTTTTCTGGGGGAAAACGGCCTTTTTTGAGGGAGAAGAAGCCTCCTTTGGCATTTTCCTGAGGGGAAAAAAAGGTTTTTTTCTGAGGGAAAACCAGCCTCGTTTGGGGTTTTTTGAGGGTAAAGAGGTATTTTCTGTGGGAAAACCTTCTTCCTGTATTATTTATTTATTTTATTTATTTACTGTGCTTATAGACCGCTGTTCTCAGCCCAGGGGCGATTCACAGCGGTGTAGTCGCCCCTGTAGCCTCATCTGAGGGAAAAGAGGCCTCTTCTGAGGGAAAACCAGCCTGTGACCTTTCTGAGGGAAAAAGGCCTTTTCTGAGGGAGAAGCAGCCTCCTTTGGCATTTTCTGAGGAAACAAAAGGCTTTTTCTGAGGGAAAACCAGCCTCATTTGGGGTTTTTTTTTTTTTGAGGGAAATGTAGCATACCTGGACTTCAGTAAGACCTTTGACAAGGTCCCCCATTACCTTCTGAAACTAGTCCAATGTGAGCTAGGCAAAACTACGGTGAGGTGGATCTGTAATTGGTTAAATGGACGAACCCAGAGGGTGCTCACCAATGCTTCCTATTCATCCTGGAAAGAAGTGACGAGCGGAGTGCCGCAGGGTTCCGTCCTGGGCCCGGTCCTGTTCAACATCTTTATTAATGACTTAGATGAAGGGTTAGAAGGCAGGATTATCAAGTTTGCAGATGACACCAAATTAGGAGGGATAGCCCATGAGGTCTCTTCCAACTTGGTGTCATCTGCAAACTTGATGATCCTGCCTTCTAACCCTTCATCTAAGTCATTAATAAAGATGTTGAACAGGACCGGGCCCAGGACAGAACCCTGTGGCACTCCACTCGTCACTTCTTTCCAGGATGAAGAGGAAGCATTGGTGAGCACCCTCTGGGTTCGTCCATTTAACCAATTACAGATCCACCTCACCATAGATTTGCCTAGCCCACATTGGACTAGTTTGTTTACCTTTACTACCTTTACGATATATATATATACCTTTACTATATATGAGCCCCCGGTGGCGCAGTGGGTTAAAGCACTGAGCTGCTGAGCTTGTTGATCGAAAGGTTGCAGGTTCGATTCCGGGGGCGGCGTGAGCTTCCGCTGTCAGCCCTAGCTTCTGCCAACCTAGCAGTTCGAAAACATGCAAATGTGAGTAGATCAATAGGTACCGCTCCAGCAGGAAGGTAACGGCGCTCCATGCAGTCATGCCGGCCACATGACCTTGGAGGTGTCTACGGACAACGCTGGCTCTTCGGCTTAGAAATGGAGATGAGCACCACCCCAGTCAGACATGACTGGACTTAATGTCAGGGGACTACCTTTACCTTACCTTACTATATATGTTTTTGGGCACTGAGGAACACTTCTAAAGCTCTGTTTTCCTATCAGATCAGACATAACAGGTTATTCAGTCTAACAACTGAAACCATTTCCTGGCATAATTATATCTCGTTGTATATCACAAGAGAAGATCCTACTCTAAAGGGTTTTTGGCTCTTCTCTGAAAGGTCATGCTTGTCTAAAAAGTTATGATCTCCAAATGGTGGTTAGGAATGCAATTTCCCAAAATCTTTTCCTCCTTTCCTTCCTCTCTCTCTCTCTGGCCTTGAGCTGATGAAAACAAAGGCCAGGCTGGAGTTTCTCCCCTTCCTTTTCCCTCCTTTCACCACAAAGGACAATAAGAGAAGCCACCTTTGTCCCCATCTCACCTTCTTCCTCTTCCTTCTTGCTCCTCACTTGCTGAGCCTGGCTCCTCCCTCCGGAAATGACGTCTGAATGAGAGGCGTCGCCCTTCTCATCTTCCTCCTCTCATTGGCATTTCCTTCCTTTCTAGGAAGACTCATTCTCACTGCTCCTGGGAGGACTCAAAGGACAGAAGTGGCCTCTCTCTCTCTTTCTCCCGATTGTTGAAAAGGAAAGGGTCGATCTCAGGTAAAAGAGGAAGGGCAGGGAGGGGGAGGACTATGAAGCAGGCCTGGGCCAACCTCGTCCCTCCCTCCAGGGAGGCTGTTAAGGAATTGTGGGAGTTGCAGTCCAAAACACCTAGAGGGCTGAAATTTGCCCATGCCTTCTCTACACTGTAGCATTATTGAAAAAAGGGCCTTTTCGGAGGGAAAACCTGCCTCCTGTGTTCTCTTCTGAGGGAAAAGAGGTCTTTTCTGTGGGAAAATCTGCCTCCTGTGTTCTCTTCTGAGGGAAAACCTGCCTCCTGTATTCTTTTCTGAGAGAAAAGAGGTCTTTTCTGAGGGAAAACCTGCTTCCTGCGGCCTCATCTGAGGGAAAAGAGGCCTCTTCTGAGGGAAAACCAGCCTCCTGTGGCCTTTCTGAGGGAAAAAAGGCTTTTTCTGAGGGAAAACCAGCCTCATTAGCGGTTTTTTGAGGGAAAAGAGATCTTTTCTGAGGGAAAACCTTCTTCCTGTGGCCTCATCTGAGGGAAAAGCGACCTCTTCTGAGGGAAAACCGGCCTCTTGTGGCTTTTCTGGGGGAAAACGGCCTTTTTTGAGGGAGAAGAAGCCTCCTTTGGCATTTTCCTGAGGGGAAAAAAAGGTTTTTTTCTGAGGGAAAACCAGCCTCGTTTGGGGTTTTTTGAGGGTAAAGAGGTATTTTCTGTGGGAAAACCTTCTTCCTGTATTATTTATTTATTTTATTTATTTACTGTGCTTATAGACCGCTGTTCTCAGCCCAGGGGCGATTCACAGCGGTGTAGTCGCCCCTGTAGCCTCATCTGAGGGAAAAGAGGCCTCTTCTGAGGGAAAACCAGCCTGTGACCTTTCTGAGGGAAAAAGGCCTTTTCTGAGGGAGAAGCAGCCTCCTTTGGCATTTTCTGAGGAAACAAAAGGCTTTTTCTGAGGGAAAACCAGCCTCATTTGGTTTTTTTTTTTGAGGGAAATGTAGCATACCTGGACTTCAGTAAGACCTTTGACAAGGTCCCCCATTACCTTCTGAAACTAGTCCAATGTGGGCTAGGCAAAACTACGGTGAGGTGGATCTGTAATTGGTTAAATGGACGAACCCAGAGGGTGTTCACCAATGCTTCCTCTTCATCCTGGAAAGAAGTGACGAGCGGAGTGCCGCAGGGTTCCGTCCTGGGCCCGGTCCTGTTCAACATCTTTATTAATGACTTAGATGAAGGGTTAGAAGGCATGATCATCAAGTTTGCAGACGACCAAATTGGGAGGGATAGCCAATAGTCCAGAGGACAGGAGCAGAATTCAAAACGATCTTGACAGATTAGAGAGATGGGCCAAAACTAACAAAATGAAGTTCAACAGGGACAAATGCAAGATACTCCACTTTGGCAGGAAAAACGCAATGCAAAGATACAGAATGGGGGACAATGCCTGGCTCAAGAGCAGTACATGTGAAAAAGATCTTGGAGTCCTCGTGGACAACAAGTTAAACATGAGCCAACAATGTGATGTGGAGTGACTTCCACAATTCCTAACAGCAAGTAATTTGCTGTTGTTTTGACGTTACCCAGGACAGTCCTTTGAGAACCTGTTAACCAGGTCTTCTTGCAACCCCAAAATTTGGGCTTCCCTTGAGTCAATCTATCTTTAATATTCTTTTCTTACTGCCTTCCACTTTACTGATCGTCATCTCATTATGTGTCCAGCCTCAGTTTACTCATTTTTAATTCTATTTCAGACTTGATTTATTCTCTAGGCCATATTATTTTTGGTGATTAGCAGAACACTGTATAAATGTATTGCCATCATGTATTGGGAGGGGGGGGGGAGGATATTTTTTAAAAATATAGTTTTTAATGAACTCATCTCTAATTGTGCTTTCTGCAGGTGTACATAAGTCTAGAGCTGGCCTTCCTGGTCTCCAATGAAAGGAAAAGACTCCACTGAATTTGTCCTCCATGGAAGAAACAGCCACCTTCAGACAGGTTAACATCACATCATCCATGGTCCAAACTCTTCCAAACTGCACTAGGCTGTAGAGGGGGTCATGGGGGTTCTGTTGGCCAAGTTTGGTCCTGATCCATCATTGGTGGGGGTCGCAGTGGTCTCAGAAAGTGAATGAGGATACTGCAAGTCCCATCATCCATAGTCCAAACTCTTCCAAACTGCACTAGGATGTAGAGTGGGTCATGAGGGTTCTGTTGGCCAAGTTTGGTCCTGATCCATCATTGGTAGGGGTCGCAGTGGTCTCAGGAAGTGAATGAAGATACTGCAAGTCCCATCATCCATGGTCCAAACTCTTCCAAACTGCACTAGGATGTAGAGTGGCTCATGGGGGTTCTGTTGCCAAGTTTGGTCTTGATCATCATTGGTGTGGGTTGCAGTGGTCTCAGGAAGTGAATGAAGATACTGCAAGTCCCATCATCCATGGTCCAAACTCTTCCAAACTGCACTAGGATGTAGAGTGGCTCATGGGGGCTCTGTTGGCCAAGTTTGGTCTTGATCCATCATTGGTAGGGGTTGCAGTGGTCTCAGGAAGTGAATGAAGATACTGCAAGTCCCATCATCCATGGTCCAAACTCTTCCAAACTGCACTAGGATGTAGAGTGGCTCATGGGGGCTCTGTTGGCCAAGTTTGGTCCTAATCCATCATTGGTGGGGGTCGCAGTAGACTCAGGAAGTGAATGAAGATACTGTAAGTCCCATCATCCGTGGTCCAAACTCTCCCAAACTGCACTAGGATGTAGAGTGGGTCATGGGGGCTCTGTTGGCCAAGTTTGGTCCTGATCCATCATTGGTGGGGGTCGCAGTGGTCTCAGGAAGTGAATGAAGATACTGCAAGTCCCATCATCCATGGTTCAAACTGCACCTGGATGTAGAGTGGGCCATGGAGGCTCTGTGTGACAATTTTGGTCTTGATTCATCATTGGTGTGGGTTGCAGTGGTCTCAGGAAGTGAGTGAAGGTACTGCAAGTCCCATCATCCACTTCTAACCTCTTCCCACTTCTAACCTCTTTGAATGCTTGGGTGGAAAAATAGTGGCAGTATTAGCTAGGGACAACTGCCTCCCCCCCCCCCAAGGCTTAATGACCCCCAACATATTCATGGGCCAAAAAAAGGCCATAATTTCACACACACACACCCCAAATTAGGCCTCTTAGATTGTAAATGAAGTGATTGTATATGAAGCTTACAGAACAATGTTTCACTATTCACGTCTTCCTAAAAGACTGTGATGTGGATACAAAAGAACAAGTTTCAGACTATAGTTAACTTGTTTCTTTAACCAATTTCCCACTTGTTCCTCAGGTTTTTTTGGCTTTCCAGACCTTAACTCACTCACTAACTTTCCTGGACTGCCTCCAGCAGCCTCCCTAACTGTCAGAGAATCTTCAGTTGGGCTTTTTCCAACTCTTTAACTACTTACTTACTACTTACTTAGGCGATCCCTCGTAGTCCAAGAATGATGGTCCCCCAAGGTCTGTGTCCTGGTGATGGGTCCATTGGTGGCTGTGGAGCCTTATTCTTGATCTGCATCTTCTCCCACAGTGAGGGCATTGGTTTCCAGGTGGAAGGCTGTCCCGGTCGAGATTGGCTTGATGCGCCTTCCTCTTGGCATGTTTCTCTCTTTCGCCCTCCATTCGTGCCTCTTCAAACTCCACAGCACTGCTGGTCACAGCTGACCTCCAGCTGGAGCACTCAAGGGCCAGGGCTTCCCAGTTCTCAGTGTCTGTGCCAGAGTTTTTAAGGTTGGTTTTGAGCCCATCGTTAAATCTCTCTTCCGTTTTCCATTCTTGAGTTCGAAGTAGAGCAACTGCTTTGGGAGACGGTGGTTGGGCATCCAGACAACGTGGCCCGTCCAGCGGAGGTGATGGCGGAGGACCATCGCTTCAGTGCTGGTGGTCTTTGCTTCTTCCAGCACGCTGACGTTTGTCCGCTTGTCTTCCCAGGAGATTTGCAGGATGTTTCAGAGGCAGCACTGATGGAGTAGTTCCAGGAGTTGCATGTGACGTCTGTAGACAGTCCACGTTTCGCAGGCATAGAGCAGGGTTGGGGGAACAATAACTTTATAGACAAGCACCTTGGTATCCCTACGGATGTCCCGGTCCTCAAACACTCTGCTTCATTTGGAAAAATGCTATGCTCGCAGAGCTCAGTTGGTGTTGAATTTCTGTGTCAATGTTGACTTTTATGGAGAGGAGGCTGCCAAGGTAGCGGAAATGGTCAACACTTTCTAATGTTACACCATTAAGCTGTATCTCTGGCATTGGAAAGGGATTAGCTGGTGACTGCTGGAAGAGCACTTTGGTTTTTTCAATGTTTAATGACAGGCCGAGCTTATCTGTATTTCTGTTTAGAGTGGCTTGTAGGTCTTCTTCTGAATGCGCACAGACGACATTGTCATCAGCATACTGGAGTTCTATAACATAACAGATGTTGTTGTAACCTTGGTTTTGGCTTTCAGTCTGCTGAGGTTAAACAGCTTGCCATCTATCTGATAGATGATTTCCACTCTGGTGGGAAGTTTCCCATCAACAAGATGAAGAATCATAGCGATGAAGATGGAAAATAAGGTTGGGGCAATAACACATCCCTGTGTGACACCTGATTCCACCTTAAATGGAATACTACACATTGGAGAGTAAACACCAGGCTCACTATTAATGCAAACTTTCCCTGACTACCTTCTGGCCACCTCTCAGCTAATATTAATAAACATATCTAAAACTTAATACTTTGATTGGGCATTTTGTTACAGCTTACCTCTGATGAGGAGGGCTCCAGCCCCAATGTCTCTGCCAGCCCCCACCATTTTGTCCTTGGCGAGATGGCTGTTTACCTGTCTAGTTTATTTATCGTGTCATCAGCAACCATACCATTGTATTACATTTCTAACAGAACAAAACAAACAAACAGATTAAAAAAAACAAAAACACAGATTTTGCAAACTTGGTAGTTGATTAAATGTCCTTTGACCAGTCTCTGGCCACTTGGAGTGCTTCTGGTGTTGCCACAAGAAGGTCCTCCATTGTGCATGTGGCAGGGCTCAGGTTGCATTGCAGCAGGTGGTCAGTGGTTTGCTCTTCTCCACACTCGCATATCAAGGATTCCACTTTGTTGCCCCATTTCTTGAGGTTGGGTCTGCATCTCATGGTGACAGAGCGCAGTCTGTTCAGCGCCTTCCAAGTCACCCAGTCCTCTGTGTGCCCAGGGGGGAGTCTCTCATTTGGTATCAGCCATTGGTTGAGGTTCTGGGTTTGAGCCTGCCACTTTTGGACTCTCGCTTGCTGAGGTGTTCCAGCGAGTGTCTCTGTAGATCTTAGAAAATTATTTCTAGATTTAAGTCGTTGACGTGCTGGCTGATACCCAAACAGGGGATGAGCTGGAGATGTCTCTGCCTTGGTCCTTTCACTATTGGCTGCTACTTCCCAGCGGATGTCAGGTGGTGCAATACCGACTAAACAGTGTAATTTCTCCAGTGGTGTAGGGCGCAGACACCCCGTGATAATGCGGCATGTCTCATTAAGAGCCACATCACTGTTTTAGCGTGGTGAGATGTGTTCCACACTGGGCATGCATACTCAGCAGCAGAGTAGCATAGCGCAAGGGCAGATGTCTTCACTGTGTCTGGTTGTGATCCCCAGGTTGTGCCAGTCAGCTTTCGTATGATATTGTTTCTAGCACCCACTTTTTGCTTGATATTCAGGCAATGCTTCTTGTAGGTCAGAGCACGGTCCAGAGTGACTTCCAGGTATTTGGGTACGCTGCAATGCTCCAGTGGGATTCCTTGACTATTCTTGAGATGAAAAGCACTTGTCTGTGTTTTAGATGGGTTGGGGATCAACTGGTTTTCCCTGTAATAGGCTGCATGATGCATGATGTGTTGTTTTCTACTGTTGATATGTCATCCTCTGCATTAATCCTATTTTACTATTGCAGGTGACCTTTGGGGATGTGGCTCTCTATTTCACTGAGGAGGAATGGGAACTCTTGGATCAAAACCAAAGATCTTGGTATTATGCGGTCATGATGGAAAACTACGAGAATGTGTCCTTCTTGAGTAAGGAATTTGAATTCATTGCACTTCCTATTGAGACAGGAGATCCTTTCCTACTACACTGTCATAGTGCTAGGATTCCATTTTAATTGTCCTGTGAAGTCTGGGAATTTGTAGTTTAATGAGGCACTAGACTTGCAGGAGTCCTTAGACTTTTTAAACAGAGGGCCAGGTCACAATCCCTCAAATTGTTGGAGGGCCGGATTGTAATTTGAAAATAACATATATGAATTCTTATGCACGCTGCACATATCTTATTTGTAGTGCAAAAAACACTTAAAAACAATAGGTAGGTAAAGGTAAAGGTTTCCCCCTGACATGAAGTCCAGTCGTGTCCGATTCTGGGGTGTGGTGCTCATCTCCATTTCTAAGCCAAAGAGCCGGCATTGTCCGTAGACACCTCCAAGGTCATGTGGCCGGAATGACTGCATGGAGCGCCCTTACCTTACCGCCGGAGCTGTAACTATTGATCTACTCACATTTGCATGTTTTCGGACTGCTAGGTTGGCAGAAACTGGGGCTGACAGCAAGGTGGTTCATGCCTTAGTCACCTCCAGATTGGACTACTGTAATGCACTCTATGTGGGGCTGCCCTTGAAAACGGCCCGGAAATTTCAGTTGGTTCAACGGGCGGCTGCCAGGTTGTTAACTGGTGCTCCTTACAGTTCAAGGAGCTCCACCGGCTGCCATTCATTTTCCAGTCGCAATTCAAGGTGCAGGTTCTTACCTACAAAGCCCTAAACGGTTTGGGACTCGCCTACCTTTGTGACCACATCTCTGTATACAAACCCACACAATCTCTTCGATCATCTGGAGAGGCCCTGCTCCCACCTCCATCACAAGCGTGATTGGTGGGGACGAGGGAGAGGGCCTTCTCGGTGGTGGCCCCCCGACTCTGGAACTCACTCCCCAAGGACATCAGGCATGCCCCAACTCTGGCAGTCTTTAGGAGGAGCCTGAAAACATGGTTGTTCCAGTGTGCCTTCCCAGAATAAGGAAACTCCCAGCAATATGTCCCTAAATGCACTTTATCAATGATCTAGGATTGTCTGCACGCCCTTTCCTCTCCGAAATTCTATCCTAGTTATATATTTCACCTGGTCATGCTCAGCATTATTTTTTTTAAATTTAATTATCACATTTGGCCCAGCCATAGGTTTTTTAAGTGTTGTTGTGCTATTGTTAATGCTTACTGCTTGTTTTTTGTTTATGAGTTTCATTTTATTGTTTTGTATTGTTGTTATTGTTGTTTTGCTGATGTATTGTGGGCTCGGCCTCATGTAAGCCGCACCGATTCCCTTGGGAAGATGGTAGCAGGGTTTATTTATTTCTCGTGTCAGGGCAGCCAGTCAATTATATTACATTTCTAACAGAACAAAGCAAACAAACAGAGAAAATACGAAATGTGTGAGTTTGGTAGTTGATTAGATGTCCTTTGACCAGTATCTGGCCACTTGGAGTGCCTCTGGTGTTGCTGCAAGAAGGTCCTCCATGGTGCATGTGGCATTGCAGCAGGTGGTCAGTGGTTTGCTCTTCTCCACACTCACATGTCGAGGATTCCACTTTGTGGCCCCATTTCTAAGGTTGGCTCTGCATCTCGTGGTGCCAGAGCGCAGTCTGTTCAGCGCCTTCCAAGTCGCCCAGTCCTGTGTGCCCAGGGGGGAGTCTCTCATTTGGTATCAGCCATTGGTTGAGGTTCTGGGTTTGAGCCTGCCACTTTTGGACTCTCACTTGCTGAGGTGTTCCAGCGAGTGTCTCTGTAGATCTTAGAAAACTATTTCTGGATTTAAGTCATTGACGTGCTGGCTGATACCCAAACAGGGGATGAGCTGGAGATGTCTCTGCCTTGGTCCTTTCACTATTGGCTGCCACTTCCCGGCGGATGTCAGGTGGTGCGATACCGGCTAGACAGTGTAATTTCTCCAGTGGTGTAGGGCGCAGACACCCCGTGATAATGCGGGGTACAAATAAAGTATTATTATTATTATTATTATTTTAAGCTCCCCAGATTTGAACCTGTGACCTTTAGGTCAACAAGCTCAGCAGCTCAGCGCTTTAACCCACTGCGCCACTGAGGACCCCTCTTAAAAACAAAACAATAATTAAAATGAAGAACAATTTTAACGAATATAAACTTATTAGTATTTCAATGGGAAGTGTGGGCCTGCTTTTGGCTGATGAGATAGGATTATTGTTGTTGTTGTGTGCTTTCAAGTCGTTTCAGACTTAGTTTGACCCAGAAATCTTTCCTCTCTGGATGCTGGAATTCAATCTTGTCTGTCCTTGTATTTCTTTGTAGGAGACAACTGGCACGAAACCCAAGCAAGCAGGCACAAGCTGAGGCCCTCCAAACACCTCCAAACCCACTTGGGAAGGGAACATCGTCCTGCCAAGCATCAGTATACGTGCACTATGTGTGGAAAATGTTTCCCCCAATGGATAAAGCTTATTTTTCACAAGAAAGCCCATATTAGAATGAATAGTTTTAAATGGGGAGTGTCCAGAAAACATAGTGCGGGAGATCTGCAGCTTGGGAACTGCACAGCGGAGGAAGCGTGCCGAGGCAAAGAGTGTGGAAAAGGTTTTGCTTCTAATTCACATCCCGCGAGCTACACAGGAACCCAAACAACAAAGCCACACTACAAATGCCAATACTGTGGGAAAGATTTTGGTCACAAGTCAGACTTTGTGAGGCATCAAAGAGTTCACACAGGAGAGAAACCCTACAAATGCCAACAGTGTGGGAGATGTTTTGCTCGGAAGTCGCACCTCGAGAGCCACTTCCGAATCCACACAGGAGAGAAGCCATACAAATGCCGGCAGTGTGGGAAACGTTTTTCTCAGCAGGCAAACCTGGAAAGCCACCTGAGAGTCCACACTGGGGAGAAGCCATACAAATGCCGGGTGTGCGGGAAAAAAATGTCTTGCTATTCAAGTCTTGTAACTCATAAGAGAATCCACACAGGAGAGAAGCCATACAGATGCCCGCAGTGCAGCAAATGCTTTGCTTACAAGTCGTACCTTGTGAAGCACCTGAGATTCCACACAGGGGAGAAGCCATACCGATGTCAGCAATGTGACAAATATTTTGCTACCCATTCGCACCTTTGGGCTCATCAGAAAACCCATACAGGCGAGAAACCCTACAAATGCAAGCAATGTCAGAAATGTTTCGTCCGCAAATCAGTCCTTGTGACTCATCTGAGAGTCCACACGGGAGAAAGACCCTACAGGTGTCAGCAGTGTGGGAAAGATTTTGCGTGGCATTCAAACCTTGTGGCTCACCAGAGAATCCACGCGGGAGGGAAACCACATAAATGTCAGCAGTGTGGGAAATCTTTTGCTCAGAAAACATACCTTAAGCGTCACCAGAGAGTTCACACGGGAAATAAAACACACAGATGTCAGGAGTGTAGGAAAAATTTTGCTCATGGTTCAGCTCTTCGGAAACATCAGAGAGTCCACTCGGGAGACAAACCGTACAGATGCGAAACTAACGGGAAACCTCTTGCTCACAAGTCACACTTTGTGACTCACCAGAGAATCCACAGAGGAGAGAAACCATACATATGTCAGCATTGTGGGAAATGCTTTGCACGCAAATCGGTCTTTGTGACTCATCAGAAAACTCACACAGGAGAGAAACGGTACAGATACCTGTAGCATTTTGCTCAGAATTCAACCCTTTAGAGCAGGTATGGGCAAACCCAGGCCCGGGGGCTGGATTCAGCTCCTTGGGCTCTTTTCTCGGGCCCTCCCCTCTCTCACCATCCTTTCCTTCCTTCCTCTTTCTCTTTCCCTTCCACTCTTTCATCCTTCCTTCCTCTTTCCTTCCTCCTTCCCTCCCTTCCTTCCCTCCTTCTTTCTCCCCTCCTTCTTCCTTCCCTTCCACCCTTTTGTCCTTCCTTCCCTTTCTCCCTCTCTCCTTCCTTCCCTTTTGTCTTTCCTTCCTTTTCTTTCTTCTCTCCTTCCTTCCTTCCCTCCCTCTTTCTCCATTCCCTTCTACCATTTTGTCTTTCCTTCCTCCTTTCCTTCTCTCCCTCCCTTCGTTCCATCCACTTTCATCTTTTCCTCCCTTTTGTCTTTCCTTTCTTCTCTTTCTTTCCTTCCTTCCTCCCTCCCTCTTTCTCCTTCCATCCTTCCCTTCCACCCTTCCTTCCTTTCCTTTTGTCTTTCCTTCCTTTCTTTCCTTTGTCCTTCCCTTCCTTCCATCCTTCTCTTCCTCCCTTCTCCTTTTCCTTCCTCTTTCTCTTCCATCCTTCCCTTCCGCCCTTTTATCCATTTTCCTTCCCTTTTATCTTTCTTTCCTTCCCTCTTTCCTCCCTCCTTCCCTCTCTTCCTCTTTCTCCTTCCTTCCTTCCCTTCCACCCTTTCATCCTTCCTTATCTTTCTTCCTTCTCTCCCTCTTTCTCCTCCCTTCCTTCCCTTTTGTCTTCCCTTCTCTTTCCTTTATCCTTCCCTTCCTTCCATCCTTCTCTTCCTGTCTTTCTTTTCCTTCTCTTTTTCCTTCTTTGCTTCCTTCCAGCCTTCCGTTCCACCCTTTCATCCTTCCTTCCTTCACTCTGAAGCCATTCTTCCTAGCGGGGAGCACTAGCATGCAATCCCCAAGTTCAAAAGTTTGCCCATGCCTGCTTTAGAGGCATCCGAATGTCCACACTGAAGATGAAATAGAACTGTGAAATACAATATAATACAATATATCTTGAGCCTGTCTTGTAAAGATGTTTTAATCCTTTTTCATGCTGCTTTGGTTTTAAAGCATGTGTTTTTAATGTAGCTTGCGCGATATTACCATTCAATAAACCTTTGCATTATTTGGAGCAATCTGTTGTATTTGTTGCCTGTTCCATCTTCCAGGAGCATGGTTTGCATTACCTTTAGTTGCATGGGATAGCATTCTTTTGCATTTCCCCAGGGTTGCTACAATCTCAGCTGCACTCTGAAAGTTAACAGCATTAGAGGCTAGAAAGCCCCTTTTTGCAGCTATTGGTTTAGAAAGTATCTCTTTGGGTTTAGAGTCCGCCCTTTTTCCTGGGTTGAGGTCTCCATTTTGGAATCTCCCCTGCCTTCTTCAGTTGAGAAAAAAAGCTTCAGATGTGCTGTTGGTCAGGCAGGTAACTCTGAAAAAACCATTGTAAGAACGATTGAGTTATATAGATAAGAAGCTAATTGAGATAGATAGATAGATAGATAGATAGATAGATAGATAGATAGATAGATAGATAGATAGATAGATAGATAGATAGATCGGTAGGTAGGTAGATAGATAGGTAGTGATTGAGATACTATAGATAGTGATTGAGCAATTGAGTTATAGATAGATATTGAGTTATTGAGAAATAGTTATTGAGCACTATTTGCTTCATCTCCAAACTAACCTTGGGCTGGAATAGGGAAGGCCTACGCTTTCTAAAAGATATGTCTCAGGTTTGGGGTAAAAAGATCTCAGGATTTTTCCTTCCATTTGGATGAAGGCAGCTCAGTGACTAGAGGAAAAAGGAAAGAAAGAACATCTCTGTGGTTTCTTGTGGGTTTTTTCGGGCTGTATGGCCATGTTCTAGAGGCATTTCTCCTGACGTTTCGCCTGCATCTATGGCAAGCATCCTCAACCTCTGAGGATGCTTGCCATAGATGCAGGCGAAACGTCAGGAGAAATGCCTCTAGAACATGGCCATATAGCCCGAAAAAACCCACAAGAACCTAGTGATTCCAGCCATGAAAGCCTTCGACAACATCTCTGTGGTTTCACCAATTGACTGTTTTGTTTGTAACCTTAACAAGCTGTGCCAAGTCTGCAAGGACTTTGAGAAATAAATATTCTGTTTTGATGTTCAAAGCCTGTAGTAGCCTCAGTTGCTGGGAATCTCAACCTTCTAAAGAAAGACCCCTGTGATCCACCCTGACAAAGAGAGAAGCACATCTTAGTTTTATTTTTATAGGCTCTGGGTGTGACGGCACATTGCCTATCCAAAATCAATGAAACGAACTTCAATTTGGAAGGCTGAATCCTTTTATTAGTGAGATACTGCTCAAATCAGTGGATTTCAACCCTGAAGGTAAGTTTTATATTTGTTTAATTCTATGCAGGGTCAGTCTACATGGGGTTGAAAGGGGATTTGCTTCCCCCTTTCTAACTCGTTGACACATAATGCTCACTCAGGCGTACTCGCTGGAATTGCACCCCGGGGCCTCCCAGCCAGGATCGGAAGCTGGAGGGAACCCCACTGTCCAAGCTGCAGGTCAGGAAGAGCACTGTGTTTGTGCTGTCCTCCATTAAATCAAGGGGGAGAGGGGAGGAAGGAGACAGGCTACAAGTCTTGGGTGGATTTGTGGGCGGAAAAGGATGGGCCTAAGGCTGATATGATGGGGGAGGAGGGGGATGCAAAAGTGCAAAGAGGGAGCAAAGAGCCAACAGACTGTCAAGAACCCAAGGAGCCAACACCAAAGGGGGAGGGGGGCTCTGACACACCCAAAACCAGTTGTTTAACTAATTGGGGACAATGCCTGGCTCGAGAGCAGTACGTGTGAAAAAGATCTTGGAGTCCTCGTGGACAACAATGAGCCAACAATGTGATGTGGCGGCAAAAAAAGCCAAAGGGATTTTGGCCTGCATCAATAGGAGCATAGTGTCTAGATCTAGGGAAGATCTAGGGAAGTCATGCTACCCATGCTCCCACACCTGGAATATTGTGTCCAATTCTGGGCACCACAATTCAAGAGAGATATTGACAAGCTGGAATGTGTCCAGAGGAGGGACTAAAATGATCAAGGGTCTGGAGAACAAGCCCTATGAGGAACGGCTTAAGGAGCTGGGCATGTTTAGCTGAAGAAGAGAAGGCTGAGAGGAGAGATGATAGCCATGTATAAATATGTGAGAGGAAGCCACAGGGAGGAGGGAGCAAGCTTGTTTTCTGCTTCCCTGGAGACTAGGACGCAGGAACAATGGCTTCAAACTACAAGAGAGGAGATTCCATCTGAACATGAGGAAGAACTTCCTGACTGTGAGAGCCGTTCAGCAGTGGAACTCTCTGCCCTGCAGTGTGGTGGAGGCTCCTTCTTTGGAAGCTTTTAAGCAGGGGCTGGATGGCCATCTGTCAGGGGTGATTTAAATGCAATATTCCTGCTTCTTGGCAGAATGGGGTTGGACTGGATGGCCCATGAGGTCTCTTCCAACTCTTTGATTCTATGATTCTATGATTCTAATTGATTGAAGTACTGGTTGTATAGTAGCTGGTTGATGGTAATTGGTTGATGGTTACTGGTTGGGAGCCGCTCCGCCCAGTACCAACTGCTGCTCTGGGGCCAGAATGAAGAAGGGGAGCCAGGAAGACAGAGTTCCACCATATCTCCTGGGTCAGTGGTTCTCAACCTGGGGTCCCCAGATATCTTTGGCCTACAACTCCCAGAAATCCCAGCCAGTTTACCAGCTGTTAGGATTTCTGGGAGTTGAAGGCCAAAACATCTGGGGACCCACAGGTTGAGAACCACTGTACCTGGGTCATCATTTGGGAGCCCCTCCCCCAGCAACACTATCTATATAAATAAAAATGTAATATTCGTTTGTGGAATTAACAGAACTCAAAAACCACTGGATGAATTGATACCAAATTTGGACACTATACCTCTAACAGACCAACGAGTAACCATCACTCCCCACCCACCCCCCAAAAAAACAGCAGAAAGGATTTAAAAAAACCCAAAAACTAGATGACAAAAAACCTAAATGATGATACAAAAAAAAGGGGGAAGGAAGAGGTAGAGAAGGAAGGAAGGAAGGAAGGAAGGAAGGGGAGAGGGAAAGAAAGAAGGAGAAGGAAGCATGGAAGCAAAGAGCAAAGGAAGGAAGGAAAGAGGTAGAGAAGGAAAAAAGGAGAGAAAGAGGAAGGGAAAAAGGGAGGAGGAAGGAAAGAGGTAGAGAAGAAAGGAAGGAGAGAAGGAAAGAAAAATTGGAAGGGAGGAAAGTGCAAAGGAAGAAAGAGAGAGAAAGAGGGAGGGAAGAAAAGAAGGAAGGATGGAAGCAAAAAGCTAAGGAAAGAAAGAGGTAGAGAAGGAAGAAAGAGGAAGGAAAAGAAAAGGGAATGAATGAAGGAAGGAGGGAATGAAGGAAGGAGTGGAAGGAGAGAAAGAGGGAGGGAAGGCAGGCCACAGCAACGCATGGAAGCGAAGGAAGGAAGGAAAGAGGTAGAGAAGGAAGAAAGGAGAGAAAGAGGAAGGAAAAGAAAAGGGGAAGAGGAAGGAAAAAGGAAGGAAGGAGAGAAGGAAAGAAAGGTAAGGGAGGAAAGAGAGCGCGAAGGAAGAAGAGAAAGGAGAGAAAGAGGGAGGGAATGAAAGAGAAGGAAGGATGGAAGCAAAAAGCTAAGGACGGAAAGAGGTACAGAAGGAAGAAAGGAGAGAAAGAGGGAGGAAAAGAAAAAGGGGGAGAGAAGGAAAGAGAGAAGGAAGAAAGGAAAGAAGAAAAGGGAATGAATGAAGGAAAGAGGGAATACAGAAAGAAAGGAAGAGGGAAGGGAAGGAAGGAAGAAAGAGGGAAAGAAAGAAGCAAAGAGCGAAGGAAGGAAGGAAAGAGGTAGAGAAGGAAGAAAGGAGAGAAAGAGAAGGAAAAGAAAAAGGGAAGGAGGGAAGAGGTAGAAAAGGAAGGAAGGAGAGAAGGAAAGAAAGGTAAGGGAGGAAAGAGAGCGCGAAGGAAGAAGAGAAAGGAGAGAAAGAGGGAGGGAATGAAAGAGAAGGAAGGATGGAAGCAAAAAGCTAAGGACGGAAAGAGGTACAGAAGGAAGAAAGGAGAGAAAGAGGGAGGAAAAGAAAAAGGGGGAGAGAAGGAAAGAGAGAAGGAAGAAAGGAAAGAAGAAAAGGGAATGAATGAAGGAAAGAGGGAATGAAGGAAAGAGGGAATGAAGGTAGGAGTGAAAGAAGGAGAGAAAAAGAGAGAGAGAAGGAAGCATGGAAGCAAAGAGCGAAGGAAGGAAGGAAAGAGGTACAGAAGGAAGAAAGGAGAGAAAGAGGAAAAGAAAAAAAAGGAGGAAAGAAAGAGGTAGAGAAGGAAGGAAGGAAGGAAGGAAGGAAGGAAGGAAGGAAGGAGAAGGAAGAAGGAAGGAAGGAAGGAAGGAAGGAGAGAAGGAAAGAAAAAGGGGGAGGAAAGAGGGAGCAAGGGAAGAAGAGAAAGGAGAAAAAGAGGGAGGGAAGGAAAGAAAGAGGAGGAAGGATGGAAGCAAAAAGTGAAGGAAGGAAGGAAAGAGGTAGAGAAGGAAGAAAGGAGAGAAAAGGAAGGAAAAGAAAAAGGGAGGAAGGAAAGATGTAGAGAAGGAAGGAGAGAAAGAGGGAGGAAAGGAAAGACAGAAGGAAGGATGGAAGCAAAAAGGGAGAGAAAGAGGGAGGAAGGAAAGAAAAAGAGAAGGAAGGATGGAAGCAAAAAGCTAAGGAAGGAAGAAAAGAGGTACAGAAGGAAGGAAGAGAAAGAGGAAAGGAAAAAGGGAGAGAGAAGGAAAGAG